ACACACTCACACACTCACTAACATAAACACACTCACACACTCACTAACATAGACACACTCACACACTCACTAACATAAACACACTCACACACACACACTAACATAAACACACTCACACACTCACTAACATAAACACACTCACACACACACTAAACATACACACTCACACACTCACTAACATAGACACACTCACACACTCACTAACATAAACACACTCACACACACACACACTAACATAAACACACTCAACCACACTCACTAACATAAACACACTCACACACTCACTACATAAACACACTACACACACACACTAACATAAACACTCACACACTCACTAAACATAAGACACACTCACACACTCACTAACAAAACACACTCACACACTCACTAACATAAAACACACTCACACACTCACTAACATAAACACACTCACACACTCACTAACATAAACACACTCACACACTCACTAACATAAACACACTCACACACTCACTAACAAACACACTCACACACTCACTAACATAAACACACTCACACACTCACTAACATAAACACACTCACACACTCACTAACATAGACACACTCACACACTCACTAACAAACACACTCACACACTCACTAACATAAACACACTCACACACTCACTAACATAAACACACTCACACACTCACTAACATAAACACACTCACACACACACACACACACACACACACAGTGTTGTAGAATCTGTAGTATTGATGTTCCTGTGTGCAGATCACGGCGGTGACGTCAGCTGTGTTTTGATGTTGTTTTTGTGTCTCTAGTAAACAGGAGTCCTGCCGGGCTTCACAGCAAGCGAGCAGATCGAACCTGTGTGTGTGTGTGTGTGTGTGTGTGTGTGTGTGTTGTGTGTGTGTGTGTGTGTGTGTGTGTGTGTGTGTGATATAAGCAGCCTCATCATAAAACCCGCTCTAACACACTCTCTCTCTCACACGCTCAGCTCGACCGGCTGCAGAGATGGTGAGTGAAACAAGTTTTTACTTTACTGAGTTTTTCTTTCTATTGCTTTTTTTTTTTTAAGTTACTTTCGTGATTTAAAAAATGTTTTGATGTGTTTTCACATGAAGACACACTGCTCTTATCACCATTTATTAGAAAGGGACACAACGTTTGGCTCCGTCCTGCTCACCTGGGTTAAACTGACAGACTCATTTATATTCTAAAAACTTGCAACCAAATCTCAGTTAATGCAAAAAAACAATTAGATAGTTAGAACTAAAAATATCATTCATAATTCTTAAATTATCAGACTTGTGTGTCTTATTGTCTTAATTCATGGATTGAATTGGGCATATTTTTGTCAAATATTTAGGTTCGGTGTGGAGTTCAGTAATCATAGAGGGCAGCTGGTCTGAGGAATGAGAATGTCTTTGTCTAACTGAGTCAGATTTAATGTGATCGTGTTTTTGGATATTAAGTTTGGAGGTTGACACAGAAACGGAGAATGAAGTCAACGGTTCTGAGTAAGGATTTATTTGTGGACCTGCATCAGAATAAGAGCAGATTGGCTCCTACGATCTAAGTGACATTTCAAACACGTTTTACAGAAACTACACGGATGATAACAAGCCGTATTTATGACTTCTGACTGGAGTTTTCTTTTGACCACTTTTTTCTCTGGCTGTCGAGTAAAATAATGTTATATAGTAATTAAAGGAGCAGTATGTCACTCTGACTCCTAGTGTTTAAAATGGGTACTGCAGTCTAAATTAAAACATCATAGAGAGCTGTCCCCCCCCCCCTTTACACAGGTCACCATGTGGTGGACTCTGAAGCTTCAGTGTTTATCCAGCTCTGCATGGGTCTGTAAACCTTTCTGTGTTCTAACCTCTCTCCATTTTTCAAAAGCATCTCCAATATTGATCCTAGTTTGAGCACGTTTCTGCTCGTGGAGCTTATTAGAAACATGCAGAGGCTTTTTAGGTCGGGTACAATCACTTCTATCTGAACCACTTCTCTTGGCCGCTTCCATCACTGCAACACCTGTTGACCTGATAACTGCTCTCATATCTGACAAACCGAGGGGCGTCCAAAACGGCCGTGTGGGGGGTGTCTTTAAAAAAGTATATATATATTAATATATGCAAAAAGTAGTTTGAGAGATTACGTGTGTTCTACTCTGAAATTACTAAAAGGATATAACAGTGTTTGGGCTGTTTGAGTGTTCAATGTTTTAACCACCTCCGGGGACGATGGGGGTCCCCACTTTATAGCACTGTTATTTTTGGGGTGGAGGGCTGAGGAGTTTGGGATCCCGGGCTCTACACACCTGCTGCTCGTAGTAACAATTCCACAGACACGAGATCTCACAGAATCTCGCGGGATCAAACATGACTTCAGAAGAAAAAAACAAACATGGAGGACGATGGACGTGGTCAGCTGGCTGTGTGGTTTGTATTCATGAGATGTTATAAAGACACTCGTGTTGTTGCCATGGTTACACAAGCTGCTCTTCTTCAATATTGCACTTGGTGGTTGGTGGTCAGTTGTGTTCATGTTCGCCGCCATATTTGAGAGCTGCAGGAATATGAAACATCTGGTTGGTGGCGCTTTCTGGTGTTTTCGCTCTCATTGGCTGCTG